ATGTTTGCTGAGGACTTGAGGACTCTCGTGGTGGTTGAAGCTTCCGAGGCATCTCGCAGTTACAAAAGAAAAAGTCTACAGAATCACGCAGCCTTGAAGACTTGCCTCGGAACCACAGTCTGAATACCAGACATGAGCCCGCAAAACCCTGCTCCCTGAAATCCAACTCGTAAGTGATAAGCCCTAATTATAAGCCAAAACCCTAGCACCCAATCCCATAAGTCTTACAAAGGTGGGTGGTTGTCAAAATTAGGGTCCCTTTTTTGGGTCCCTTTTATAATACGGTACCTATTATTTAGGGTACCCAAAAAAGAGACCCTAATTCTGACATCCACCCAAGTAAAGCCTTGTAGATCTTTTCCTAGATCTTTTCCTGGTTCCTTATTCTAATTCTAGTATACTGGGGCCCAGAACCCCATTCGAATTATTAAGGCCCCGTATTAATATGAGTATACTAATAATCATAATATTACATTATTAATATTACTAAGAATAGTCTAATACAGGCCCCTTTGTCAGAGTCCTTGTGCGTCGCAGGCCTACGAAGCCGGTGAAGAAGTCCGGAAGCTGCCCTGCGCCCACGTCTTTCACAGGCGTGGGCTAAACTTATAGGGGTACTTAGAAATAGATTTTAATTTTTGGTTGTTATAATCCCTAAGAAACAGCTAAAATTATAAGTTTTGCTAGGGTTCTAAGTTCAGTGTAAAGTTTTGGGATTTGGGGGATGTTCGGGTGTACAAAAGTGGTCGGAGGAAGAGAGAAGACGATGCATGGCAACAATATCCATCGCTGCAATGTTGCTGCAGCTTTATCATAGATCTCCAAACAATGGATCGGCAGTCCTGTATGATTTCCATTGTCTGACAGTCGAACCAGTCGAACTATCCATTATTTGTCTACCTGCATTCTGTACGTCCGTTGACCTAGTTGAGCATGAACACAGACAAACCCTGAGATCATGACCCCGCCGGCTAATCCGATTGTTCCATTCATGAGCTGTGTTGTTCTGGGGCGGTCTGGCAACGTTAGCCCTGAAGGGTGTGGGGTCTGAGGTCCGCTGAAATAAAGCTTGGCCCCGTCCCGGAAAGAACGACTGTAAACGGCACCATCAAATCCTCCGACACCCGGAAATTACTAATATAGGGGCCTAAATCATTACTAATACTATTTTGGGGGTTCCTTACTATAGATCTAGTATAATGGGCTTCAGAACCCTTTCTCTAACTAGTGGTAAGGCCCCTATAGTACCCGAAAGCCCAAAACTCGATGGTCTCCCAACCGGGCCTCGTAGTGCGATAGTTTGTCGAGCCAAGCCCGACTTCAAGAAGGTCCTACACGTCAAGATTTCGTTCAGGGTTTCCGGAACGTTTCTGATTTTATGAAGATTCAGCACATCGAGAAATACTGTGGCTGGCAACCCTAAACCCTAAACCGTGTGCAAATTGCAGGAGGATCGAGACTTCATAGTCCAGCATGTTAACCTGTATTATAGTCGTGTTTCAGAATACTCTATGGCATTCTCATAGTGCTGTTGTAGTATATTATCGTATTATATATCATATTACGTTATAGACATTGTATGCAACTTGAAACAACAAGTCATGATTCGATTGAGGACAGGGTCAGATGTAACACCAAGATGTGTGCATGAACGATCGTACTGCGACACGAAGGACAGCTCGACCTGCACTCTAACCTGCACGCCCTACTGAAACGGCTTTCTTTCTCATCACCCGGTCTTCCCAAGCAAATCTGATTTAGTCACGATCCTTTATAGAACCCTGTCTGCACTGCACCCTTTTCGATCCCTATAAAGGAACCCGGCTCATAGCTGTGCCAGGGAGTGCATTGATCGGTGGCTTACGACGGGAGGTCCAATCTCACTGCAATGCCCGCAACTGGTCTGAACATCTCAGAGGTAGGCTGTGGGCTGAGGGTTTAGAGTTTAGGGTTAGATGTTTCGGATCTTCAGTTATAGGGTTTAGGTAGGCTCATGTAGCACACGAGCAGGTATGTCCTCGACCTTTACTTGTCAGCGGCCCTTCCTACCGGTGACCTTTATATTGACTTGGTCGGAAACGATCTGTATTAGATGAACAGACCCACTGACCGCATACTATAGGGGCCTAAGTAGCTACCTATACTGTTTTGGTGACCTTTTGGGGGTTCCTTGATATATTTATAGTATGATGGGCCCCCAAATCCTATTCTGATCATTTAAAGCCCCTATTTTATGGTACCCTGAAAAAGATCCTTTATATAGGAGCCCTTATAGACCCCTTTAAAGGACCCCTATTCTAATTGTTAAGGCCCCTACAGTAGAATTGCCGTACAGAGCTGACTTCATTGCCTGCTGCTACAACACCACGGATATCAGCGGCAGGAGGAGTAGCAGCTGCAGCAGCCGCAGCGGCGGCCGAAGCAACAGTAGCAGCGCAGTAGCAGTAGCAGTACAGGTAAAAGTAGAAGTTGGAGGGGAGGAGGAGGAGGCACCACAATGCTAATTTTCTCCTTGCCTAGCATAGGACGCTGATTCCGCATACTGCCCATCCACTTCCGATGATCATAATTGGGATGACTGTGATCTCGTTCCGATGTCTGCTGTCAACACATCACAGTAGAAGCCAGAAAGTTGGAAGATCATTATCATCATGCGCTGAAGATAAAGTATATGCAATCCCAGCATGAACCATCCTAAATCTATCTTGCAACTTTCTGGGGTTCACTGTGGTGGGTAGTTATCTAAATTAGGGTGTTTTTCCGGGTCCTTTTTATGAGGGTGCCGCACTTTTGGACCAAAACAGGGACCCTACTTCCTTGAACTACATAATTCCTAAACCCTAAACGCCTAAACCCTAAACATAAGTGCTTCCTTCCTCAAAGCCTGCTCTTCGCAGAGGATCTGCAAAGCGCAAGCCTTGGAGTGAGCTGATCATGCAGGCACCTCGGATAAAAGGGTTTTACAGTATATAGGGGTTTAGGGTTTAGGGTTCCTTCAAAGGGATCTGTAAGGGTTCCTTTAAAGGGGTCCATCAGATTTTAGGGTTTAGGGGTGTAGGGTTTTGCAGTAAAGGTTTAATTAGGGGTTTCGGGTTCAGCGGTGTAGGGTGTTACAGTAGGGGTGTAGGGTTTAGAGGTGCAGGGTTTAGGGGTTTAGGGTTGAGGATTTAGGGTTAAGCTGGAGGTAAGAGTCTCGGGTGTATGTTGTGTAAAAAAGTAATTATAATGGCGAAGTTCAAGCAAGACTGCAAATATCGAGCTCTGTGGATCGTGAACTGTAACCAAGCACGCAGTGACGCTGGGGAGGCAAAGCCATGGTGGACCAGCTTCTGGTGTGAGGGCGCAAGCTACCCTAAACCCTAAACCTTACAACCTTAAAACCCGAAAACCCTACAACCTTAAAACCCTAAACACTAAACCCAAAAATCTTAAAACCCTGAAACCCTAAGCCCTGGACCCTAAAGCCCTACAACCCTAAACCCTAAACCGCATCCTCTTTCCTCAGTCTTGCAGGGTCCCTTTTTGCCCTAAATCCAAACCCTCATCTGCAGGGGTCCTTGCAGCCCGGGAACCCTGAACCCAAAGCCTAGCTTTATCAGTTCTACCTGTTCAACCCCAGGGTTTCGGGCTCCAGTTGCCTACATAACGGGTTGCCGGCTATATACTAATGATTCTTAGCCTACTAAACCCTAAACCCTGAACCCTAAAACAAAAAAACAAGAAACACCCTAAACCCTAAACCCTAAACCCTAAACCCTAAACCCTAAACCCTAAACCCTAAACCCTAAAAAAAAAAGTAGTTGGAGCCCTAGGTAGGCAAAAAGAGAAGATCTCAGGTTGTGGGCTCTCCGGCCGCTGTTTGAATCGCCATGGACTGAGAAGAAGAGGCCGCTCACCAAGACCCTGCCTTTCATACCCTAAGGGTCCATGTGCCCAGATAGTAGATACTTTGGCCTTATTGTAGTCCTTCTATAGGTCCTTTGGGGCCTAAGTATATCCTATTCGGGTACATGGACCCGTAGGGATATAGAACCATGAGAACAACTACCAACATTGTTCCCTAGACGTCCGCATTAATTTTTAACTCTACAAAAACATACCCTGAAAACCCTATTGTAAATATTAAGCCCCCATATCAATCGGTTAGATGCAAGAGCTAGGATACTAAGTGTGGCGACCTCTTCCGCACCGTGCACCGACGCCCAACGCAACCACGATCAGTCCATGTGGCAGGGGCTCGTAGCAAGGAGCAGTAGTAGTTGTTGTTGTTGTCGTCGTAGTAGTAGTAGTAGTAGTAGTTGTAGTAGTAGTACTTGTCGTAGTCGTAGTAGTAGTAGCAGCAGCAGGAGTAGGAGTAGTAGTAGTAGTAGTAGTAGTAGTAGTAGTAGTAGTAGTAGTAGTAGTAGTAGTAGTAGTACTAGTACCAGTCCTGGTACTAGTACTAGTACGAGTCGTACATTAGTTGTAATTGTCGTCGTGGTCGTAGTCGCAGTCGTAGCAGTAACTGTAGGGGTAGCAGTAGATGTAGCGGTAGCCGCAGTAGCAGTAGCAGTCGAATCAGCAGCAGTCGCAGTAGGAGTAGTAGTAGTAGTAGTAGTAGCAGTAGTAGTAGTAGCAGCAGTAGTAGTAGGAGGCGAACGATTTGCGGTATGAAGGCGGGTGGCAATCTGACTTTGAAGCTTTTTGAAGCTAGTTGTCTCCGTTCCGAGTCTTCTTTCTGTTCCCGGTGGTCTAGTGGTAGCTTCGCAATTCAACGATGAGCTGTCGCTAGTGAAAGTGCTTGGGAACCAGTCGGGAAAGCCTCAGACCTAAAATTTCGACGAGCTGGAGGTCCAGAATGTAGCTCAGAAGCTAGACACTCGAGACCAATAGACCCCTTGCTCTAAGGACTTCATCAAGATCAGCATAAAGTAGGGCTGATACCCAAAACCCTGTTATGAGGCTCCTAAGCAAGGCATGCCTCAGGAGCCAGATGCTGAGTAACCTGACTAAGGCTCACCTTCCGTCAAGCATCTCCCATAACAACACCCTAAACCCTGTACCCTACACCCTATGCCCAAAGCTGTGAAGCCTCAAACCATAAAGCCTTCACCAATCCCCAAGAATCATACTCTCGGCTACGAGCCCCGCTGCATGGCACCGGTGCGTTGGCAGCTTTTCCTTCCGTGCATGTGAGGCGTACAACTACCATATGCCATTATACCACATACACTGTGAGTATGTATATAAATATAACTATATTTAAATATGCATATGTATCTATATATACATGGATGCACATTACCAGACACTGTTATCTTTGTTTTTTTGTGTGTTCTACGTTCATCAGGTTCGAGTTGCTGGGGAAGCGAAAGTCGATTTGCCAAGATCAATGTGCGGGTTGTTCAAGGGATATAGGCGGATAGAAGGGTCATCGATGTCCGGATTGGATTTTGGGAGTCACGAGGGCTTGGTGTTTGTGTGCAGCATTATCAGAAAGCCTAATTATTACCCCTTAACTAGTTCGGGAATCTAGCTTAGAATCTAGCTTGAATGAGAGGGAGCTCAATATGTGAGGTGTCTTGAATAGGTCTTCCACGTCTTATAGCAGCCTGAACATTCAACAACCCTAAACCCTAAACCCTGCACAGTTCTACCAAGCAGACCTCTACTTCCAGCACCATGGACTTAACTCAATCCGGCTACCACGGTGAATCAAAACAACTTTGAGAAGAGTTGTTTAAGGTCCTGTCCATCCACAGTATCTATCTAACTGGCTGACTATGCAATCTGCATCTATCTACCTACCTGGACCTACCTACCTGCCAGCCTACGTGTGTATCTATCTATCTCCTTCTCTCTCTCTATCTATCTAGTTGTGGTTGCTTCTTCCATCCGTTCTTTCAGTTTGATGATCTGTCGATAGACCTACCGATCGACCTATCGACAGACCTATGCGTCTTCTTGTCGATCTACAGTTTTGTCTATCTATCGAACTGACTGTCTATCTATCTACCTAGCTGGCTGGATAGCTGTGTATCTTTCTATCTGCCTCTCCTCGCTGTCCTGTCCCGTCCTGTCCTGTCCTGCCCAATCCTAATCCAATCCTGTCCTTCCTATCTATCTTTCTGTCTATCTATCCTCATCCCTGACCAGGGCAGACCCCCTGATTCATAAACCCCTTTCTTGGAGTGCTACAGACATGGGGTCCTGACACTTCTCCCTTTCGAAGCAGAGGGACTTCGTCATTTTGGGGTCCACGCTACATCGTCACTTATCATCTGTGTATGAACACGGAACATGTATAAGACTTGCCCTGCATGTTCCCATATATGTATGAACTTTACGGATGCATGCGCCAATTTTACGCGCTTGTACAGATAGACATGCAGAGGTAGTTCCGGGCGAAGCTCTAAACTAACCAAGCCCTACATTAACTTGAACTCCACGTGCTGAGGTTGGAATCGAATATTTCCTCTCATATTGCACCACATAATCGTACTAATGCATAGTGTATTGCAAAACCTTGCTCTAATCAGTATAAGAAACTAAGACTTATGTATTTGTACCTACGTTTACATATTGTATAGATACATATATATATATATATATATATACACATGTACATGTATATACATATATATATATATATATATATATATACACACATGCATGCATACATACATACGTACATACATAGTCGTGAGTATTGACAATGTTTTGTGATTTCTGATGGCCGAAACACGATACACTCTCGCGTGATCCAACCAAGTAGCTCGGTTTATGTCGGCTTTTCCGGCAGCAAGGAGGCCATGACGGCAGAGCCACTATTTAGGGTTTCGTTTTAGGGCCCACAGTCCTTTTTTCGAAGAGATTCCAGAAATCTTGATAGTGAGGTTCTTCATTAGTACGCTTTAGGGTGTAGGGTTAAGGGTTTAGGGGGTTTAGGGTTCAAAGTTTAGGGTTTAGGGTGATTCATTAGTACTTATGTGTTCTGGACCCTGCATGGGGGGTTCGGAAAGATGGCCCTGGATGAAGGCCCCATATCCGAAAGCTCTATTTAAAAACTCGTAGCTGCAACGATGGCTGTCCTTGCTTTAGTCTGAACGAATCGGTGTGCCCCAGCCGCGAAGTTCCGCCGTCCAAGGTTCGGCTTTAGGGTTTAGATAGAGATTGCACAGCGCTTCCAAGACTGCCTGGGTCTGGGATTTACGGGGCTTTTCCTAGGATGCCCAGTAGTACCCTTATTCCCTTCTTGTAGTCCTAGGTTCCTTATAAAGTTACCCAATACCAAAAAGAGAGGCCTTTTTATTCTTAGGTTACTGGGTATCCGAGTTTCTGAAGCTGAATAGGCAGGATCTATGTCTTCACCCATTTGGATGTGCATGATCCTGCCATGGTTGGGCCCAGGCTTCTTTAATAGTTCCCTAAACCCTTGTAGAGCCCTTAAACCCTTATAGAACCCGTAAAGGAACCCTGAAAGGAACCCCTAAAAAATCTTAAACCCTATACTAGTTCCTTAGTATGTGCCGAGTGTGGGGAGCAGTCCCTGCGGAAATTCGACGGCAGAGTGCCTTCCAGAGTAGCAAAGTAAAGGTAGGGTTTGCATGGCGTGGCTGGGAGGCTCTCGGTTCTAGGCTTTAGGTTTCAGGGTTTAGGTTTTCTGGGCGGTGTCGGTGTTTAGGGTTTGGGGCTTTCGAGGTTGAGGGCGTCAAGGTGTGGTGTAAAATCTAGGCATTGGGGGGTAAATTACGGGGTGTACGGTTTACTGTCGGACTTCACCACTACGACTGTGTAAGTGTATGGCAGCCCCACCTACAACCTTACTTGGTGTATGCTCCCCTGCTAAACCCTAAACCCTAAACCCTAAACCCTAAACCCTAAACCCTAAACCCTAAACCCTTTACTTCACATTTATTTTTCGAAGTCCGAGGTTCTCCCATGCCCGCCTGCATTGTGCAAAAATGGCAACTGGAGGAGTTGCTCTTGATGCTCTCTCTGTATCTATATATATATATATATGTACATAAATATATATATATATATATATATAATAAAAAAATATGTATATATATATATACACCAGTACAGTATTCTAGTGTCAGTTATGCCAGTTTCGCTAGTCTAGAGGCCGGAATCATTAGCGCCACTATGCCGTAGGGTTTATAGATATACTTGTAGTGCGAAGTCGGCCCGACACTGCAAGAAGGACCCCTACATTGAAACATTGTATGCCCAGTAACCCTAAAACCTAAACACTCAAACGTAAAACCCAAGAAGGGCCCCTACAGTCAAGCATGTGTATTCGAGCGGATCGAGCGCAAGCTTCCCAGCGCCTGCTGGTCGAGGTGACTTCGCTTCGCCTCAGTTCGGCGAAGAAGTCTGGGGTAGCCTTCAAGATGCCGGTCCCTCCCCTCATACATACACTCAACTAAACGCCGTAAGCCTAAACCTTACAAGCCTTACCTAAACCTCTACAAGTACGTAGGTAAAAGAACATGGCCCAACACCTGTCAACAGGCTATTGTCATAGGTTTCTAGGTGATGTATCCCTGAATTCCTACAGGAGTACTCAGAGTTCCTCCTTACTGGGTAATGCACAAAATCTTGCACTTCCTTGCGCATCTTACAATATGCTACCCTTATGGCAGAACATCCTAGATACACAGCATGTTCATACCTGGCTTACCAAGTCCCCCTAAACCCTAAATCCTAAATCCCCAAACCTTAAGCCTCTACCCCCGAAGTAGTTCCTTTTTAGGTACTAACCAAAAAAGAGGACACACCCAAAAAGTAACTACTTTGGGGCCCCTGGGTAAGCAGTGTTGCAAGACAGAGACCTCAGCACAAAGCACTTCTCAGACCGCTGGCGAAAAGACTTTGCCTTTCTGCCCAGCTTCTATAAAGAAGAAGGGTTTAGGGTTTAGGGGTTTAGGGTTTAGGGTTTAGGAGCCTGCACTCCCAGAGAGCCCAATATCCCTTGATCAAGGAATATTCCTTAGATCATTTTCGGGATCCTACTAGATCTTCGGGTATACTCCTTAATTCAGGGATATTGGAGTCTCCGGGCTACCTGTAGTGTTTAGGGGCCAGCTTCTGTTAAAAAGCAAGTAGGCTTAAGGATTTAGGGGTTTAAGGGTCCAGGGTTTACATGTCTTCTGTTTCAAGCAGAGTATCACAGTGAAGTTGTGTTCGGGCCAACACTGTGCTTGATCACTCCAAGCCGAGCAGTTCCCTGGTAACTTGCAGCTGGCTTCTAATGGCAGGGCTTGGGGCTTACATCCCAACTAGGGCCGGGAATCTAGGGGCCTAAATAATTACCTGCACTAGTTTGGGGGGTTCCTTACTACAAGTGTAGTATAATGGGCCCCAAAACCACATTCTAATTCTTAAGGCCCCTACAGTACATCCCAACTAGAGGTGGCACTTTGGCATTGAAGCTTTAGGTTGCTAAGTGCGCCGATGTCGTTCAGAGTTCTGCTTCAAGGATGATCACCTGCCGAGTTGAAGCAGACCCTTCTGCTACTGCCGTGTGTTGCTAAGATGAAGATGCTTAGTATGATTGTCATGTACAGTAGTGTCTTCTGGATGTTGGAACTGCAGCTACAACGGTGATATTGTTTGAGTGGAAGCAACGGTCATCGTGCAGTTCGAACAGCATCGCTCGCAGACTCGTTGGACATGCACCTTTTGGGATATGCCGTTGCTGTATTGCTAGGATCCGATAACAACAAACTAGGCAACCCGCAACAGGTATGGCAATTTAAGGTCCAGGTCGTCCGCGGCCAGCACCGCAGCTCACCCTCCTGTTGCCAGTATGCCAAGCTTGTTAGGGCATCGAATGCAGTCGCCGTGACCTAGCTGAACCGCGAGTATGGAGTAGGAAACAACGTGAGTCGTCGCATGGAGAAGTTACTCGATGTAGTCTTCTTAACGAGGGCGCAGGATGTAGTGCTTGCATGCACAAAGCTAGCATGAAATTACCCTAAGGCCCCAAAGTAGTTCCTTTTTGGGATTACCTTATAGGATTCTATATACGAACCCCAAAAAGGAACTACTGTGGGGCCTTAGAGTAACTACTAAACCCCCTGCCTGTGCTGCGCATTCGAGACCGAGGCCGACATTGATGAATGGACCGTGAACAACATCAAGTTCGCCCCGACGCGCATTAATGGGTTTAGGAGTTAGGGTTTAGGGTTCAGGGTTTGTTAATTAGTAAAGTCAGACATCTACCTGGAGGGGCAGGGGACTTAGTAAGTAGGTTGTAAGTAGGGTTATATTTGGGGTAACTCCATTTAGGGTACTTATAACTCTACTTATAACCTACTTACTAAGTCCCCTGCCCTTCCAAGTAAAGTCAGACATCTAGGAAGTGCAGAACTGCCCGCTGGGGCTCCATTTAATGGTAGGTTACGAACCATACAGTGTTTTGCAATTATTTGGACAAGTGGAGCCAACGTGTACCCCAAACCCCAATAATGAACTCGAAACTCTAAATGGCTACCACTGTCAATCAGTTTTCACTCGTCGCTCCAATGTCAGTCAACCCTCTGTCTGTGTAGCAGAATGGCGCACACGCAGCGGCAAAACTGCTGGAGTTGACGAAACCCTTAACCCTAAATCGCCGCTTCCTGATGACTATCTCCCCTTCAGACGGAGTGGAGGGTTCTTGGTTTCCAGCTTCCAGGGTCGGAGTGATGGTATCGTATGCAGTTTTGTCTCGAAGGAGGGTACTGCAGTATTTTGGGCTTGGGGTCTTGATAAACGGTTACAAGGCTCCTGCAAGGCTGTAAAGCCAGTAAGCAGTTTATGCATATGGGTGATAACTGCGCATACTTGCTGCTTCTTCTTGCTTGCGGGGTGGATTTAACACAGGGTTGAGGATCTGCTGAAGCAACCCGTCGTGTGACATGCCAAGTTACATCATTACATGTCCTTCAGGTCATGGCATACCATAAGTTACCATTGTCATATCATATCGTATCATGCCATATCATGTCATCTCCTGCAATTTCAGATCATGTCATGTCGCACGACGGGTTGCATCAGTAGATTCTTAATCCTAGGTTAAGCCCTGTTTCGTGTGACAGTGACCGGCGCGGCACTTTCGGTATGTTCGCCATAGCTACTTTCAATCTTTTATTTCCTAGGTACGGGCCTCACCAGGCCGTAAGCGCGACTAGCGTGTCCGTAGCTGGAGCTTTAAGCGCTTCCAAACCCTAAACGCAAACAACAAAGCAACATGCCTCCCACAAGTCCAAGAGGAATCCTGTTTCCCGTTTCATGTGGCAGGTGTGGTAGAATCGGTGTAAACGTCCGTTTCGAAGGGATCCCCCATGAGGTAGTTTATTTTTGAGGTTATGAGTACTTTGTTTGGTGGCCGAAACCTTCTTGAAGCCGAAACAGGTACTGGATCACTCTCGTCAATTGGAAAGACGAGCGCACCAACGTTTGTTGGCCGCATCTTCGATATCTTCAGTCGAGGATTTAGGTATGGGGTGCATATGTATATATGTATATACACACAAGTTATGTGTGTGTATATCTATATGCACACACACACATACATGTGTGTGTGTGTGTGTACATATGTCAATATCAATATATCTGTATATATTTATATAGGGATATATACATATACATATATATATAAATATATTTTTCATCTACATATACACAAGTGTACTTCTGTCTATCTTTGTATAGATGCCGGCAGTGTTTGCGTACGTATTCGTATGTGAGATTTGCCATACAGAAACAGGCAGAAGTGCATCAACTACTATCTTTTGCAGCTATGTCACGACTGCTGCTGCTGCTGCTGCTGCTGCTGCTGATCTTGCTGCCGCTTCTGCTCCTTCCGCTACCGCTACTGGTTGTGCCACTACGACGACTAGTGCTACTTCTACTGCTACTGCTACTGTGCAACTGCTACTGCTCTATTGCGACTGCTACTACAACTACGGTTGCGGCTGCGACTGCTAATAATCATACTAAATAACCACCACCACTACCACGACTTCGACGATGACTACGACTATGACTACTGCTGCTGCTACACGCTCGTAGGAGGCCTGGTAGTTTTCATGGGTTTCAATCAGTACGCAATCTTCAGGTTTGAGCACCCGTACGGCATTTTCGGCTGCCACGCAAAGTTGAATGTGCAAAACATGGTGCGTTTAGGCTCATGAAGTGCCGAAAGTACTGTCAGCGCCAACGAAAATGCGCATGAGGCAGCCGCGGGTGTCGGACACCACGAAGTACAGTTTTTGTAGGTTTTGTATGTTTCTGGTGCTGCGGGAGTGCACAGTATGCTGTACAAAAGGCAAAAACGCTGTAAATACCAGTGTTTTGGGCATGCTCGCCAAAAGCATAGATGCTTGTGACAACTTGTTTTGCTCCACATCTTTGCGCAGTATGTTGTAAACGGATGCTTGTGACAACGTGTCTTGCTCCACATCCTTGCGCAGTATGTTGTACAAAGAGCAAAAATGCTGTAAATACCAGTGGTTTGGGCATGATCGCCAAAGGCAGTGACATGAGCGGTATCATCCTCCCCCCCCACCCCCCACCCCCCCAAAACCCTGCTCCTAGCGTGCAAAGTCGCTCCGAAAAAAAACGCGCGTAGAAGCAAAAGTGCGGTACATACCGGTGTTTTGTGCATGCTAGCCAAAGGCAATAACATGAACGTTATCATCCCCTCCACCCCCCAACTCCCCAAAATCCCGCTCCTAGCGTGCAAAATGGCTCCGAAAAAAAGCGCGTAGAAGCAAGCGTGTCGTAAATACCGCTGTTTTGTGCATGCTCGCCGAAGGCAATAACATGAGCGTTATCTTCCCCCGTTCACCCCCCCAACCCCTCAAACACCGCCCTACCGTGCAAAATGGCTCCGAAACGCATGAAAAAACCAGGCCTCCTACGAGCGTGTGTGGTACTACTACTACTACTACTACTACTACTACTACTACTACTACTACTACTACTACTACTACTACTACTACTACTACTGCTTCTAGTACTCCTTGGCACTAGTAGTACTGGTACTAGTGCTGGAACTATACAATTGGCACAAGTAGCAGCAGCATGAATGGGAATTGGCAGCATGTGTGCTGCTCGAGCTAGCGCTAGTAAGGGTACTATTGCCAGTCAAGCCGGATTGTCAGCGAATGCCGGGGCACAAGGCACCGCCAACAGCACAAAGGATGCCAAGGGCAGGATGCAGAGTAGAGCTGTAAACGTGCCCGAGTTCGGCACAAAGCCTTGAGACGTTCGAGGCGAGGCGCTTGCTTGTCAAGCACACTTCTAGACTCTACCAGCACTTGGAATCCCTGTAAGGCCCTTATGAAACCCCTGGCACCTCCTAAACCCTGAATCCCAACCCTGAGAAGAAGCCTCACAAAGGAGCCCTCAAAAAGAGCCACGAATCCGTCCAGCTCTCAGGTGAATAAGGAGCACAAGTTCCACTTTAGCCACACTGAGGCCTGTGGGGCTTCGGGGAAAAGGGTTTAGGGTTTAGGGTTTAGGGTTTAGGGTTTAGGGTTTAGGGTTTAGGGTTTAGGGTTTAGGGCTTAGGGCTTAGGGTCTATAGAGGTTGAAGTTTCGTTTGTTCGGGCCCTGGACCCCCCAAAAAATTCTGCATGGCTTAGATTTACAGGCGTTGGGCCTTTATTCTGTTTACTTTTGGATGTTCAGGTAGGGTTCTTTTTCTGATGTTGGTTTTTTCTGTTGTTCCATCACTTGGGTGCTAGATTTGAGCTTTCCCTGCAGCGAGGCGAAAAAGCAACTTGGTTCAGGGTTTAGGGCTTTCGGACAGACTGTTTAGGACTTGCATCTTCGAGTCACTATCCACGAAGCTCACCTATGAAGATCGATGATGGACTTGAGACCCAGCACCCGCGTTTTCGCGCTCAGGGCTTACGCTGAGGGGCTTGGGGTTTAGAGTTCAGGGTTTATCATACCTCACGACGCTGAACCCTAAACTCCAAGCCCTAAACCTGACGCCCTCCGACCTACTTCATATACCTGCACTATCCTAAACCTTTTACCAAGGCACTGAAGGGATTTATATCCGTGGCGTTATCGGTGAACCGTGTTGTCGCTATTTGTCTTCAACTACTACCCAAATCAGGGATCTGCATTTACCCTGGATGCTGGGGCCCTTCACCTCTAAACCCCGAACCCCTCAACCCTGTGCGCCTAAACACAAAACGGTTTAGGGTTTCGGGTTTATAGAAGTTGTGCGGCAGTATAGTCGTACTTGGAAAGCCGGAAAAAACTTAGTAAGTAGGTTATAAGTAGGGTTATAATTGGGGTAACTCCATTTAGGTTACTTAATTATAACTCTACTTATAACCTACTTACTAAGTCCCCTGCCCTTCCAAGTAATGATATTATGGAGAGTCCAGCATGTCAAGCAGCTGGATTGAGGATGAGGGCTGGATGGTCCGGAGACCCCCTACAACTTATATATACAGACAGTAAAGTGGTCCTGTGTTTATAGTTCGGGGTTATATAACATAACCATACTGCTTAGCATACTCCAATCCCACGCATTAAGGCCCCTTCAAGCTTGTTCTGTAGAGGTTGACAATGGCTGGCATCGCGGGTTCTTGAACGCAGAGAACATGACAGTGGAGCAGGCCGTCCCGGAGAGCATGATTTGAGGCATAGTCACTCTCGTTTTAAGGTTGGGGGTGTAGGACTTTTATGGTTTATGGTCATTACGACCTCAACCCCTAAACCCGAAACCTTTTTTCACACGTGGATCTACATATATATATATATATGTACATACACGTGTGACTATGTATATATGTACGTATAGACACATGAGTATTTGTATTCTATATATATATATATGTGTATATGTGTGTGTATGTATGTACATATACATGCTGTATGTGTATCAGTATACAAATGTAAAGAAAAGTAAATGTATAGGCGAATCTGAACCTGCACCCTGCGTCGGCAAAAGCAAAAGCGGCGCCTGTAAATCGGTGGAATTTAGGGTCTAGTAAGCTTTAGACTCCAAAGCCCAAGTTCCAGACCTCAAGCTGCACAACCCGAGCCGAAGCCTACATCCCATGAGATGCCCCGCGGGGTCATAGATTCTATAGATCCGATATGAGCCCCTTCAAGAACATGTACGAGAAACCCTTTCGAACCCTCAACTTAACCCGTAAACACCGCAGGGCTGGCTCAACGAGCAGGGTGAGCTTCGCTTCCGGGCACAGATCTGTTGTCGAAAAGCTGATGCCCGATCGCACTAAAGGTCGTTCAGAGTTGCAGGTTGGGAGATGATTTCGAGTTTAGGGTTCCGGATCTGTTGGAGTTTATGGTTCGGGCTTTCGGGTTAAGAGACTAATTAAACCCTAAACCCCTAAACCCTAAACGGTTTAGGGTACGATTGTGGTTTGCATGTTGGGAGATGAATTGGAGTTCAGTGATCAGGGTCTCAAGTTGGGTGATTTATCAGAGTTGAGGGTTTCGGGCTTGGAAGAAAACCTAAACGGTTTAGGGTACGATTGTGGTTTGCATGTTGGGAGATGAATTGGAGTTCAGTGATCAGGGTCTCAAGTTGGGTGATTTATCAGAGTTGAGGGTTTCGGGCTTGGAAGATGAGACAGAGTTTAACATGATGCATGCATACACGTTTGGCACGCGTATTCTGCATGCATGCATGTGTGAGTCTGTCTGCATGTGTGCTGTTGTTTTCGATAGTTCTTTTTTATTTACATATACACCTGTCTATCAGTTTGTCTATCTATCTACCTATCTAGCAGTCTCTCTTTCTCTCTATCTGTATAACCATCCATCCATCTAACTATCTGTCTATTTATCTACCTACCTATTTGTTAACCTATCTTTGGGTATACATACAGGTACATTGTTGGTGTGTATACATATATACACCTATGTATACATATGACTCTGTAGGTATGTATATATGTATGTACGTGCGTATGTATGTATGCACGTAGGCAGGGTTGTATGTGTGCTTGAATATACATACATACATACATACATACATACATGCATACATACATGCATACATGCATACATGCATACATGCATACATACATACATACATACATACATACATACATACATATATATATATATATATATAATTATAATTAATCTGTATATGTGTGTGTGTGTGTGTGTATGCATGCATGCATGGATGTATGGGTGTATGTATGTATGTATGTATGTATCCACGTATCTATGTGCGCAGGTAGCTGGCGCACATGTGTGCGCTTGCAAACATTCATACATTCACGTACGTGCGTGTATATGTACAAGGCTTGGTTATGGTTTTCGTTTATACATGAGGTTGCATGCATGATTTTTGGATAATAGCATGTCACCATGTGTTTGAAACTTCTGCTGTTTTAGGTACATGTCGCCCAGCGTCCGTCACACCCACCTGCCGCAACCAAGACCTTGTTGTTTGGCCTCTGTCTATTGCCATGGTTTTGAACAAGCAGGAGGCGGTGTACAGCCCCCCAAATGTTGAGCCGTGAATCCTACACCCCAAGAGTTTGCGTCTATGGGGTATCAGAATATGGGTTGTAGTTACCTACTATAGGGTTCAGGGTTTAGGTATCTGGAGCCCTAGTGTTGGAGGGCTTTTCGGCGCCCAGGAAGTGCGAATCGCACACGACTCGTCCGACGGATCTTCTCAGCATCCGCACACTCGAGATCAGGCAGTGGAGGGAGGAACCGAACGCCTTGATGGAGATGTGCTTCTAGCGGATTCTAGCGCCTTGGCTGTGCTACAGTTGTAAGTCTTCGGGACGTACGTTGAGAATGCCGCCATGCCAGGCTGCTGCAAGGTAAGTCTGCTAGAATGGAATTGATTTTGCTTTTGTTGAAACGTGGACAGGGCTCGGCACATGTCCAGATTCATTTGTTGTGACCTGTTGGCATACTTGCCTTTTGCTGTCTTAGGTCGACCAGTGCGACTTTCGTACCAATCCCTTCTTTGCAAGAATTTCAGGGCCTAGCGACAAGCTCTGCCTCTGACATTGATCCAGAGGTCCGGATGGCATTCATTCCACATATTGAGGTTTGAGTCTGTTGATCAGGAAGCTATCGTTCTATACTGTATACTTGGCTATTTACTATTTATTTCCGACATCCTACACTAAACTATACCAGATATACTATACTATACTATACTAGATTATACCACTTGTGATCTAGATTTGGGGTGTCGATGTCCTGCAACGCCCATACCGCCATCGGTCCGGTCTGCTGCGGACTCTGAGAACCCGGGCATGATAGGGTTCAGGGCTTTCGGGTTTACGGGTTTTGTGGGTTTAGGGTTTAGGGGTCTAGGGTTGTGTTTGGCAGTTTCGGGTTTACGGGTCTAATTAGTGTCGAGGTGATTGGTTTCGGGTTTAGGGTTCTCGTCCTGCTGACACCTACCGCTGCACAGCAAGCTTAGACGTCTTCAGATGGACTGAAACTGCAGACGCGCCATCCAAGACGCGCACCGAACAGCGCAGACCCGCAGTATAAGTAGATCATGACTCCATCGGGTTTATGGCAGAAGGTATAGCCAAGGTGTTCCGACACCATCACAGGCGAACCGAAGCGACGATGGATAGCTCCGTCTCTTCCGCCATGGACAGTTTGGCAGCAGCCCCCTGCATCAGCCGTCTCAACTCCAGACTTCTGGTCGCTGGCAAGGAACCACTTAGACTGGAAAGCGGAAGACTCGACCGTAAGGGGCGAAAACTCCAAGCCTTCGCCGCTTGCGTGGCTGCGTGCGCTGCTGCTGGTGCGAGGCACAGAGGCTTTCGGACACTCTGCAAAGCAGAGGCTTCAGATGTGCCGCGGCGTGTTGCGGCCGCGGCCGCTGCTGTGGCTGCTGCAGATGCGGTGTTGCGAAGGGACGACCGCTACGCGCCATCCGGGCCGACACTTTGGCCGCCCAAGGCATTCAAGGAAACAGAGCGAACAGAGTTGGTCCCTGGGCTAATATGGGGCCTGGAACAAGTGATCGCCTTCTTCACGGTTTCTGCGAACATTCGTATGATCGTCGTGCGCATGGAGGATAAGAGACTCTGGGTATGTGGCCCCATCTCGCCCACCCGCGAGTGCCTTCGGTTGCTGGATGAGCTCGGCGAAGTGGCTCACCTGGTAGTGCCCGGCACAGCTTTGGAGCACAAGGCCTCATTGTCCGAGTTCTCTCAGCTCTATCCCAAGGCGACTGTGTGGGTGTCCCCCGGCCAGAAAGCTTCGCCCTTGGATCCACCTCTCGGCTCGCATGTGGATGGTGTGCTGGGAGTTGATGGGCCTCCGCCGTGGGAGAAGGAAATCGACTACAAGGCACCCGCACTCACACACTGTGATTGCTTCTAGGGCCTAGGGCTGGTATTTATTCCATTGCTGGTATTCAGTGTTGCTGTTGGTACTGGTCTGCAGGGTTCTACCAGCTAGCCGCAGCGGTGGTGGTGTCGGTGGTAGGATGACGACGACACGACGAGACTGTGTTACGAACCAACGGCCACGACTCGCACCACCACCACCACCACCACCACCACCACCACCACCACCAGGACTACCACCGCTTGTTGTACTCGGCTCAGTGGTTGTGCTGGTAATGCTGTTGTGTCATGGAAGCCTGGGTGTGTTGGCGACTTGACAGTAACGAACCCATGGAAGCTATGCTTTCCGAATTCTTTGGGAGGTGTTTTTCGTGGCGCCCCCTGACACGGCCGGCACGTGCCTTTGTCACAGAGGGGGTGTCTCGCAGTTCACGTGTTTGCAGAACGGTTACTTGGAGGGGCAGGGGACTTAGTAAGTAGGTTATAAGTAGGGTTATAATTGGGGTAACTCCATTTAGGGTACTTATAACTCTACTTATAACCTACTTGCTAAGTCCCCTGCCCTTCCAAGTACCTCAAGCCTTCAACCCTAATTAATTAACAGCCTCTGCCATCCTTCCACGAGGCTGAAAAAGGTTTCGCGCTCCAGCACCCTGTGAACTTGGAATCGTTCTGCTACTGCCACTGCCACAGCACCGCCACGGCCACTGCCGACTGCTCCTGCTCCTTCTCCTGCTTTTGCTACTGCTATGCTGTAAATTTCGAACATACCTCTGCGAATCTGAGGGCTACTATGTATACGATGAGCCGTTTCTTTCTGAACTGTGTTAAAACCATCATGCCGGCAATACTGTGATATCCTGTTAAGGTATGCGGAGACGGCCTTTTTCCATCGGCGGTCGAAGACCTTGCTGCTAACCGACGCGGTGCTCAAGGCGTGAGGGAACGCCCCAGACTTCCGTAGACCCCAAATTTGTGTGCAGAGGTTTCGATACACCCTGAATTTCGGAATATACCATAAGTCTTGAGGCTAAAGGGGTGAAAGATCATGGTTTTATCAAGGAAGCAGTATAGCAAGTATCCTTCACGACCTTTCTAGCAGCCTGCGAGCCTGCACACCCGGAGAGGGTTAAGGGCAGACTGTAGCTGTAGTGGGATCTAAGAGAGCAGGTTTCGGATGGATCCCTCTAGTTAATTCCCAATAGTAGTCTCCAGAATCCATTCCCCCCTTTTCCTTGCCAAGAACCAGACAGAAGTTCAGCAGTCATGGAGGAAGTGGTTGCGGCACACTTGTAAGAAAACGCATCCAATTGAATTTGTAATCTTACACATCTAACGGTTGTCTACAAGTTCTTGTTGTACCGTTGAGCCCTGATACACAAGCCCAATCCCTAAACCTCGAACGCCCTGCTAAGGTCTCGAACCCTATGAAGCCTTTGAATATGTCTGCCCGGACTTAGTAAGTGCCCTGAATGATTATCTTGCTCAGAACTAACATGGACAAATCATTCACCATGGGGGTCGTAATGCCAAGGAAGTGCTTTACCCTTATGTTTTCATCGAACCTTAAACAGATGCGAAGAAGGGGTATAATTGTTACTTGAGCGGTTTTGGAGTCTCAAGATTGGGCCCCTAAACCCTAACCTCAAACAGCAAGTTAGATGTGATTTTTAAGTTACCATCTGGACAAGGTCCCGGAGGGGCCACCTCGTATTCTCAGCTCCTATGGCTACGAGGGTGATCCTGGCCAGCTAACGAGTGAGCAGTGGCCACTGGGCGTTCACAGTTTGGGCTTAGGGTTTAAGGTTTGGGTTGTTGGGATCAAGGCTGTGGAGATAATGAGAAGGGTCTTGTAAGGCTTCCATGCTGGCTGTGTCGGTTTGTTTGTTCAGGATTTCGGGCTAATTATGAGTTTAGGATTTCTGACATGTTATCGAGCTGCCAGCATAAGGAGATAAAGTATATCCATAATCTGCTTTCCTGGTTATGGCAACTTGAAGTTATTTCGCAATCTTGAACTAGCATAGGGTAGCCGGATGGACCAATCAATGGATTTAAGCAGTGGTTTGCACGATTTACGGTTTATGGAATTGGGGTCGCTTCGGGTTCAATCTATAGGTCTTACTTAGAAGATACCAGCATCCGGGATTGCGGATTTTGTGCTAGCTGCTGTCTGGATTCATTGTACAGGATTTCGGAGCTGTTTCCTTTGGGACTTGGGGCTTTTAGTGAACAGGGCTAGAAGGGTTCCAGGGTGATGGGTTTTGGCTCGGGGGTTTGTTGATTACCAGGTGTGCGGATTTGTTGTAGTTTCTTATAGGGGTTGGCAGGCTTTGGGGAATCCTGGCTCAAGAAGTGTGAGTGGCGTAGTATACAGGTTCGTTTGTTTTAGTGTGCTGTTTTCCCGATCAGTCCTTAGTGTACAGCATGCATCAACCCTTGTTGAAAAAAACATGGCCTCTACATCTTACTCTCTACTCGGCTAAAGCCTAAATATCAGCCCAATAGAATGGCCCAAACCCCTATCCTAATCAATTTCCAAGCTTTAGCCTCCGAATCCTGAAACCTAGGCCCTACACCGCAACCCCAGAACTGTAAAATCTAAACTTAGGGGTACTTAGAAATAGTTTTTAACTTCTGGTTATTATAAGCCCTAAGAAACAGCTAAAATTATATAATTGTTGCCAGGGTTCTAAGTTCAGTATAGTAAAACCCTAAACCCTAAACCCTAAACCCTAAACCCCTAAACCCTAAACCCAAAACCCTAAACCCTGAACACTAAACCCCGGAGTCGAAAGAGCCATTGCACTTTTACAACACAAGAACACTACATGGGAGTTTCCGAAAATAGGGGACCCTAACATAGTATCCTAAATAGTAGGATCCTTATTAAAAGGACGCCAAAATATGGTACCCCTATTTTCGGAATCTCCCAAATAAACCCTAAACCCAAAGCCAATAGCTGCAGTCCAACACCAATCTTTGGACCTAGGGCTCCGGAAGCCTTGAAGCCGGTTCAGGGGTTTAGGAGTTAGGGTTTAGGATTTAGGTTTGGGGTTTAGGGTTGGAGAGCCCTGAAATTCCACAAGCTGTGACAACTTTGTACCATAAGGATAATTCGACAATAAACGTGCCAACATAAGCCTTTTATACACATGATAGAAACCGCAGATGAATGCCCAAACACCCCACAATCCGCAGCACTCGCTAGTACTCTATGCCCTGAAACTCTAAAACCGTGAACCCTAAACTGGGAGCTTCCGAAAATAGGGGACCCTAATATGGTACCCCAAATAGTAGGATCCTCATTATAAGGACCCCAAAATAAGGTACACCTACCTTTCGGAAACTCCCGAATCGTTCCGCGGAGCCTTGAATCCTAAAAGCCCGGCGTCCAGAAAGCCTTAACGCCCAGTGTAGGAACCTGATTAAGAGACCTTGGGCCTTTATTTGGGTTCCTTCCATGAATCCTACTATTTTGGGGGTTATAAGGCCCAGGGTTTCGTTTTCAGGTTCCTACACTATTATGGTAGCCTTACTATACCCCTAAAAAAGTCCTACACTATCATGGTAGCCGTATTATAGATCCCTTGTAGGAATTAACCCTTATAGGAACCCTTATAGGACCCTTTAAAGGAACCCTAGGTTCCTACGTTATTGACTAGGACCTAGAGTAGGCCCTTATTCCCTTTTTAAGGGTTCAGGTTCCCTTATAAGCCCCTTTAAACCAAAAAGGGCACCCTTTTTATTCCTAGGCTACTCTTGGGTCTAGTTGAGGTACTACAAGTTTCTGGCCTTCAACTTCCTATCGATGAGGGGCTCTGACAAGGCAGACTTCGCTGCCCTGTCGAAGCCACCAGGTTCGGTCCTCTTGGTTGAGGGCTTTTAGGGTTTGGGGTTTAGGGTTTAGTGGTTCGGTCCTCTTGGTTTAGTGCTTTGAATAGGCTTTTGAGGGCTTTTTCGGGCGTTTAGTGTATGGGGTTTAAGGTTTGAGGGTTTAGGTTCACACCCCAAGGCCCCCGCCCCTCATGACTATTGTCTCATGTTCGACCCTGATTCCCTTTAGAGTTTATCCAACAAAAATAGATCCCTTAATTAATGGGTAGTATAGGGCCCCAAATTAGGGGATCTACATTCTAGATCCTCCCGGTCTGGGTAGTAGGGAATGGGGGACATGGATTCTGGAGACGATTATATAGGGACTACCATAGGGATCCATTCCCCCATTCCCTACTAAGCACCATACAGTCATGGCGCCTGGGTTTCTGGCTTCCACGAGCCTTGGAGCTGCGAGTTTAGGGTTTGAGAGTTTCCGAAAATAGGGGACCTTAATATCGTACCCCAAATAGTAGGATCCTTATTATCAGGACCCCAAATAGGGTACCCCTAATTTTCGGAAACTCCCAATTGGGGCTTGAGGGCCCAAGCAGACACCCTCAATCTCTTGGCGAAAAATCGGCCACAATCTGAAGCCTCATGAAGCTTTGACAGTCCGTTGCCCTAAACCCTCGAATACGTAGGGCTTTGGGACATTTTGCATTTTCCCCTATTGGGCTTAGGAGGATGTTAGTATTTCAAAGGGTTTGAAAGCCCCACCTAGAATCTAAAGCCCTAAACCCTAAACCCTAAACCCTAATCCCTAAACCCTAAACCCTAAACCCTAAGCCCTAAACCCGAAACCTTGAACCCTAAGCCCTAAAGCCCTTCCCGAAACCTAAACCCCGAACCGCTAAATCCGTAAATCCCTGCAGGCTGCCATCTCCCTAGGGGGTTTAGGGTTTAGGGGGTTTAGGGGTTTGAGGTTTTGGCCATAGAACGTAGAGGCCCAACAGGATATAAGCCATAGGGATATTGCTATCCTTGCTTTACTTCTGTGTGTTTTTTTTTTTTTTTTTTGGGGGGGGGGGGGGCTATAAACCCCTACTTGGAAGGGCAGGGGACTTAGTAAGTAGGTTATAAGTAAAGTTATAAGTATAGGATGTCTTTTTATAGTAGTTTTTAACTAATTACCATAGGGAGCCCTGAGGTCTGATGTTGGTACTTACTTATCGCTTCTCCATCATGTGGCCCTGCTTCGGTAGTCATGGCAACCTGCGATGTCATTGTCTCTGGGTTGCACTCTGCACATTAAAATGTCTGATGTTCTGCAAAATTACCTCGGCCTTCACCCCGAGAGGACCTAGCAAGTAACTATGCGATGTCATGGTCTCTGGGGGCACTCTGCACTGCTGCCAAAAAATGTTTGGCGTCCTATGAAGAGACCTCCGCCCATCACCCCCAACAGACCTATAACGAGGAAATGCAATCAATGCAATCCCACACCTTTCAAAAGAAGCCGGCATGCCCTTCCAAGTACACCCCTGAACAAGGCATCGTGAGTCCGATCTTGCGCTTCACTTTGTATCCGATCTGCCAGAGCCCGGGCAGAGTTGCGCTAGGGTTTTTTTTCTTTAGGGCCGGGGTTTGGGGCTAGGGGTTTACGGTTTAGGGTTTGGGGCTAGGGTTTTTTTTGGTTTAGGGCTTGGGGCTAGGGTCTTTTTGGTTTAGGGTTTAGGGCTAGGGGTTTAAGGTTTAGGGTTTAGGGCGAGGGGTTTAAGGTTTAGGGTTTGGGGCTAGGGGTCTACGGCCTCTATGGTTGAAGGTTTACGGCTAGGGGTCTAGGGCTTAAGGCTCGGGGCCTAGGTTTTAAGGTTTCGGGCCTCGGGTCTACGGTTTAGGGTTTAGGGTTTAGGGTTTAGGGTTTAGGGTTTAGGGTCTACGGTTTAGGCTGCAGACTGATATAGAAGCATTTAAAGGGGCCCCAAACCCTGTTCTAAATACTAAGGCCGCGAAATTGGCGGTCCAGACGACGAGACATATACCCCACGTGTGGTCTGTGAGAACCAGCCTCCAAGTGGCTCCACGTATCGGTACAACTTTCAGCTTAGGGTTCAGGGTTTATGGCATAATTATGGTTTAGGGTTCACTGTTCTGCCCATCGAATGGCAGCCTGGTTCACGGGGGGTTACCCCGTAAGCGATGAGTGACACCCTCCTGAAGATGTGCGCGACGATTGGACATCTGGTAGTGTGGTGCACACGCATGCTCGACTTGAAACTGACCGTCATGTTTACGTTCCTCATCCTGAAAGCCCAGTCTAGTAGTGTTCAGAGCAGTAGGGAGCACGGCTCGGCTGGAAACGCGGATCTGGTATGATCTGACCCTCATGCAAGGGACCATCGAATGCGTTGAAAACTCTAGCTCCACGTGCTCTGAGCTAGCGACAAGAGCGAACAGCAACACTTGTGCTTTGTGCTCTGAAACCTGAAAGCCCTCACTGAAACCCTGAAACCGAAAGCCAAGACCCCCCAAACCCCAAAAGCCTGTAAAGCTTAAACCCAAAAAGCCCTTCAGCCTAAGGACACAGGCCGCCGCTTGGGTTAAATCCGTGGCCGACTGGAAGTTTGAACAGGCCCGTCCAGGATTGTTGGTGGCTTTAATGCTTGGGCCTTCGGGTTTCGTAGGGGGGTTTATGGGGTTCAGTTTAGGGTTGCGGGTTTCGGGCTTAGGGGTCGAGGGTGATAGCTTGTGGTTTCTTTAGTCTTGCACTTTGACCATTAAGCTTACTGGCCTACACACATTGTGTACGGTTTTGTTTGCTTTCAGCGGCAGCCTCTGTGCCGGCCAGAAGCAGTGCAGCTGATTGGACTTGTCCGTGTGTCTTGCTTCGGGGAAGGTGGGCCCTCGCAAAGCCCTGAAGCCCTAAAGCCCCAAACTCGAAATCCGTGGAGCCCGAAAATCTGTAGCACCAAATCCTGTAGATCCCAAAGCCTCAAATACGAAAGCCCCAAATCCCCATGACTCTAAAGTGTCTAAGCGGGGTAGGGCCCGAGGGATAGGCTTGACAAGGAAACGTTGTCTGTTCGTTCCGAGGCAGCATTCCTTTTCGGGCCGGGCTTCTTTGTTTTTTTGGTTTGTTCAAGTTAAGGGTTTAGGGTTTGGGGGTTCAGGGGTTTAGGGTTTAGGGTGGTATTGCAGAGTCCTGGCTGATAACACACCCCCCCCTAACACAAATCACGATGGGCTCTCTTGAGGCCTTTAAAGTCAGGAAGTCATCAGGCATCGATTTCATCAAAGGCCCCGTTTGGCCCTTGCCCCCAAAACCCTAAACTCTCAAACGGCTCATAGGGTTCCTTTAAAGCGCTCTATAAGGGCTACTATAAGGGTTACTATAAGGGACCTATAAGGGTTCCTTTAAAGGGGTCTATTAAACGCTACAACCCTAGCTAAACCCAAAAACCTACATCTCCCTACCACGACCCTAAAGCAAAGAATGCCAGATGAAATCAGCCTTTCAGGACCCCAATTAAGCCCTAAGCCATGACACCCTTAGCAGAAGTACCCGTCTTACGGGGATCCCTAGTTTCTGCAACTTTACCATGCCCCAGGCATCGACAAGCGCCAGAAGAAGCCTCTAATCAGAACCCCATAATCCCACGGGTCCAAAGTACCCAGTCATCGGGTTCTCGATTTTATAGGGGCCTTAATGATTAGAGAAGGGTTCCTTTACAGGGATCCTTAGAGGCCTCTAAAACCCCAAGGGTCCAAAGGACCCAATAACTAGGTTCTCGATTTTAGGATAGTAGTTATGTAGGTCAAGATTTTGGAGAGTATATGGTTATTGGGTACTTGGACCCTTGGGGTACCCTTGGGGTAAAGCCGCTCTACAAACACCAGCAACAGCCGATACAACAACACCCGGTACAATACCTGAACCCGTTGCGAACAACCGTAATTGAAAGCAAAAACTCCAAAAGCCCTGCCTGCACGCTTCTTCTAAGCCCTAAACCCCTAAACCCCGAACCCTGTGTACACTCTAAACTCTAAACCCTATAAACCCTAAACCCTAAACTACACCAGTAGAAGTGAGCATCAGGCAGTGGCCGGACATCTCCAGTCGCCCTTTCGGCTGAAACCGGCCGAGTTCCTGGAAGCCTTTGGATTCTTGTTCGGTGGCGAAGCTGAACAAGGGGTCGTCACTATGAGGGTTGCGCGTTATATAAGCGTTCAGATGTTGATTGTTGTAGTTGTGTTGTTGAACAGTGGGCGGTTGTAGTGGGTGGTTCTTTAGGGGCTGGTTTTAGGGGTGTGCAGAAAGCTTGTCTACAGCAGCTGCGATGAGAGTGCACGTGTGACGTAGTTTCCCGCTCGAGTCCCAAAGTACTCGTATAAAAACTAAGCCCCTGAACCCCGAACCTTAAACCCTATGGCTTATGCAGGCAAAAGAAGTTCGTGGGAGCCCTCCAAGGACTGGCTTGCTTTCGCTTAGGGTTTAGGGTTTAGGGTCAGGGTTTAGGATTCAGGGTTTAGGATTTAGAGTTCAGGGTTTTGGTTTTACCTATAGCCCCAAAGACCTGGTTGATTGTATTGACTTCTTCAAAGAATGTCTGCAAGAGGTAGGTTTTGGGGCTTCCGGCACGCAGGCTTAAGGGATTCAGATGCGGTTGTTGCATGGCTCTGCGGTCCAAGTTTGAGCTTTTCCTGCTTTGAGTTCTGTCATATCCCAAGCCCAGAGGTCGGTTCTGGTTTCTTTAAACATACATGCATACAAACACAAATACAAACAAAAATGCATACATCCATGCATACATACTACATACATGCAAAAACACATAAACACAGAAGCACATAAGCACATATACACATAAACACAAACACACACACACACACACACGCATACTTACATACATACATCCATACATACATACAATCACATACATACATCTACACATACACACATATACACATACACATACACACATGTACACATGCACATGCACATACACATACACATACACATATACATACATATACATATACATAAACGTGTACATATACGTATATATACACATATACATATACATATACATATGCATATACATATACATATTCATATACATATACATATATACATATATATATATATATATATGCTCACACCCCCCCCCCCCCCCCCCCCCCCGAAGACCTACCGCGAGGTGCTTCGGCTAGCAATGGGTAGTAGAACATGTAAGGATTTGAGGAAACCATTAGGATAAAATACACTCATACATAAACAATGGAAACATATATCGTGTATAGCCAATAGCTGAATACACTGTAATGACCTACGACGGCGCGACATCGCCGTTGGCGGATTTGGGCAAGCTTCAATGCCTGCAATTGTTTAATAGGATACTGCCTAAATGTTCCGGATATTCATAACTCTGGTCATATAATGACCATAGGCATAACCCGAAGACAGGACCAAGACAGAACAGTGTCTGCATCCTACGTAAGATCGTTAGATGCGCCGGGTAACTTTGTGTTTGTCATTGTCTGTTTTTAATTTTGTTCATGTACTCATAGGCATAACCCAAAGACGGGACCAAAACAGAACGATGTGTGCATCCTACCTAGGATCGTAATGAGGGTTACATGTGCACACATGTTTATTCTGTGTGAAGTTCTTAGGTTACTCATGCGCCAATGTGTATAATAGCTATTACTAGTGCGAATACTAATACTGTTACTAAGATTTCTATTCCTCCGAATAAGGATATTACTGTTCATAACATAATAGGCTTAATGGTTAATACTAGTATTAAAAATTACACTACTAATTCGAATAGTAGTGCTGATGGGAATATTAACACTCCTGGGGATACTAATACGCATATTCTTATTAACTGTTCTCAATATGAATACTAATAGTACTAGTTGTTTGGAATACTAATACTTGTCCGAATATTCATACCAATACTCAGGCTACTGCGATTATACGAATACTAATAGTACTAGTTGTTTGGAATACTAATACTTGTCCGAATATTCATACCAATACTCAGGCTACTGCGATTATACATAATAGGACATTAATATGGGTATTCGTATTAAGGTCAGCATTTCCTTCGAAAGTATTCATATGCGCATCATAATTCATCTTAATACTCGTACTGATATGAATTAGTATGATTACAAATACTTTTACGAAGACGGGTACTTTCAGTAATACCGATACTAATATGAATACTAGTGTTCCTACGAAAATTAAAAAACATACCCATATTGATAGTTGCGAACGGACTGCGACGCCTTGTCAAGTTCTAAGGTGTCACTATAAGAGCTGTGAGCAAGACCGTGTAAAGTGCAAGAGAAGGGGGCACGCTACGCGTCCCTCGACTCTAAGGGGGCACGCTACGCGTCCCTCATCTTTACCTTTCTATGTGACCGCCCACGCAACGTTTGGCTCAAGTCAATGCCCATAGCTAAGTGCTATAAGTGTCTTCTATCCTGAGCAATCAGAGCTATCCCGTTGCACAGACGAACCGCCGCCGGCAGTGAGTGCAAAAGGAACGGC